TAGCATTGTACATGAATTGTTTATAGCTTATTCGAAACTTGTTCCATTGATGTTGGCCTCGATTGCCTGTTTTATTGTTTTCCAGCTTCTCTGCAAATAAATGACGGAAAATAAGGATGTGTAAAAGAGAGAAGTACTTATGGGAAGGAAAACAACAGTTACGCCACTCACTCCTTTGCTTACTAGGTCGGGCAGTCTTCAGTGAAGCAGAAATTATTTTGTAAAGCTATAGATTTTGATCATGGCTTTGAAATTGTAGTTGACAGGTCAATGGCTCTGCTATTCCTGTATTATGAGCCATATTTTCTTTGAGTTAACAGCTAATAGGCAAAGCAAAATTAGATGTCTGCAAGTGATGCTGGAATTCAAAAATCGATGGCTCAGCCTCCTGTCCAATGAACATTCTTTAATTGACTGTATTTTCTGGGTAATTGAACCAGTCTTTGTGTAAATGGAAGCTTCATTGGAAGAACAACATAATCTTGCATTCGAAATGTATCCAGCGTTGATTCCGAACATCCCGATCATCATATGTCATGGCCGGGTCCTGGTTCTAGCCGCCAATTGCTGCTCAAACAGAAGCCCTGATTGTTTTGCTTTGATTGATTGCCTTATTAACGTGTGTTCTTGTAAGTGTGACCAAGTTGATTACGACGCATATGCTTAGGATAATGTTCCATTTAAGCAAGTGGGTAGGACAAGAAAGATGTAAATCACCAGCGAAATGTAAATTCCCAATCCTTGTTTCACAGATAAAACCGAAATAGGAAAGTTTAGATGACAACTACCTGCATTGTTTTACTTTAATGGCATATGCAGAGCAAGCTCAAAAATGAGGTTTCCACTCGAGCTATTTTCTTGTCTTTGTGACTGTATATTTTCGTTTATGACCCATCAATTTTTTTTTGCTATTAAAGCAGCGTACTACGCCAAGTGAAATCACATCTGTCCAGTCATACAGGAGTCTATCAAATGCCAAGTATGTGGAAAATTACCAACCGATTGTCTTATAGTGCGTCTCTATTCATTTAAAGTGAATAGTTGCTTCGGAGTCAAAAAATGATATTCTTGAAAAATAAACGTTTCAGCAGATCGTACAGCATCTGTTGCCTGAACAGACCAGTTTATATGTCAGGTGAAGATCATTCTTCCAAACTTGTTCCTTATTACGAGGCAATGAAGAACATTCCATAAACACTAAACTCACACAAATGTGGGCTGGGACCGAGAACAGTTTTCAACTGTTTCGCAGCTGTCTGCCACGCTGCCTATTCACTGTATCCATTCAAATTTGCTCTTCATGCGTGTGTGCAAATACAGGAATATATGAATATATGCTTGTACATGTGTGTTTACTGATGAAAGAAACGCATGTAAAGTATTGATGAAGGAATTTTGATTGCTAGCAATACAGTTTGACTGCATGAATTCATCACTTTAACGCCACTGTCATGTGCTATCACTGAAGAAATCGGAATAATCCCTCAATGCGGGATTCCAGCAACGGCTTTCCTGTTGCTGCTTCAAAGTTCGTTTTGATCCTTGTGCTCAGACGCTGGAGTGCCTCCTACCCCCCGTATGTCAGTCACCTTCGTCAGATCAAACTCAATCCATGTTTACAGGCTCTCAGTTAAAAGTGCAATTGACACAAGAACACCCGTGACAAAACAAAAGGATGTGCTATGAAAAAATGCAACAATTAGGCATCTACATGCTGAACTGAAACGACTGAAATCGCCACTACCCCAAATTATGTTGTATTAATGTCGGTTTAGTTCGTTGCAGCGGGGCGAAGAGCTTAAATGGCCCGATCAGATGATAATGATGATGAATGAGATATTAATTCAGATACAAGCTAGACAATTTACGCGTTCATCTGTTTAAATAGCCTTCCAAAAATCATTTGGAATCTCGGGTCACAAATTCAATCAATGGCACCATCTTGTAAACGTGCGAGGCTATGTGTTTATCATAAATATTTATAGATACAGCGCTTTATCTGCCGACCTATGTCAGAGCTCTGCTCCGTGTAGAGTTGACAATGCATTTCCAAATATTAGGACTACATCTAATCCCAGGTTTACAAGCGTATAAACAAATATCTGAACAAGTGATAGGCTTGCGTGAACTTCTCAGAATTTATATATAATACGGTGCTCAGTCAACTCAAGAAACGTGTGTTAAATATTATCTTTAGCTTTTTCCTTAATGACATTTTTATAAAATGAAATGTCACAAAAGAAAATGAGTACTAACACATATCAAAGCCACTATTAGAATAAACGCAGTTTAAGTATATGAACTGCAACTTTATTAAGAGATATGAATTTCAATAACAACCTAACTTAATTATTCTCTTGTTTTGTAGCAAAATCCATCGTTTTGAGCATACATGTAACCCAGTGTGCGACTGTTCCATACAAGCACATTCATATATAATTCGTATTTTCTGTCTCGTTGTAGCAGCGTTGTTTATTTGTTGCAACTCAAACGTTATTGGTTTTTTAGCAAGCTACTTATATTGCTTTCCCGACTGGCTCTAGCCATATCCACACCTAACCCGCCAAGGTATATCATGTAATGCCAGCGTAACAGACCGAATAAAGTATTCTAACGGTGTAGAATTCCAACACTTCATTTATTTTCGTACGATCGAAAAGGGGTTATTTTAGTAATCGTTTGAGGAAAACATTCAATAACATACAGTCTCGACCAGAATATGCAAGTGTACAAAATGTAGTAACTCTGCGTGTATTTATGATTTTTAATGCAAATATTGTAGTTTTGTACGAGTCTGCAATCGAGTGAGTCATCTTATTGTGTAGTAAAAACTAAAAATATCAGAGAATATATATACATGTCTGCGCACATTTTACACGTGAAACAGAATGCTTTGTTAACATTTTTTTTTAAAGAAAACGCATTCAACTGTGTTGTGGAGATTCTGAAAATGCCCGTCAAAATGTGACATTGATGTATTGCTGTCCAATTAGTGCGTCTAATTAGCGTCCTATGGGAGAGTCCGACCTGGTGCCAGGGCAGACTGAGCCCAGTCAACAACAGCCGCAAAGAAACGTTATTATTGCTGGAGAGACTGCATTTGGGTAGGAAATGATACAAAGAAATTTTATATAGCAAACGACTGTTATTAAACATAGGCTACAGGCAGACAGAACTAGTGGTATTAAGCTCTGCTCGGAATCTGTCAATTTTTTTCAAACCTACTTTGCCTTCATCAACAAGAATAATTATTGTCAATAATTTTGGTAGGAATTAACTAAATGCACCTCGTTAGGGTAACTCGAGTAGTTAATGATGCCTATTCAATATTGAGAAATAGTATTTCAGGATAATTTTGCAGCTTTTTCCGTTTCTGTCATCATGTAAGGTATTGTACCTGTTTTTAAAAAGTTATCCGTTAAGAATATGGATAAACTATTCACTTACCAATTCCCTCTTTGGTGGACAATAAATTGTTAATTATCAACAGTAGAAGGAATTATACCATTTCTGATGCAAATACGATTTAAAAGCCTGATTGCACTTCGTAATTTTCAAGCAAATATTATAATACAAATAGCAAATCACCATATGTAGCAAAGACATCGTATCAAATACTAATTGCAGCTTAACTTAGTTTTAGCAAATCGCAATATGTAGTAAGTGCATCGTACCAAATACTAACTGCGGATTAATTTAGTTTTGACTAACATGACGTTTATCAGTAACAGCTATAATTCATACAAGCACACTTTATTAGTGCTTGAGAAATGCTATGTTAAAGTCTGAAAGGTACATTTCATGGAGCTGTTTGTCTTGCACGTCAGGTAAGAGCAGTCGATTCTGATGGCTTATTGGGTCAAATAACGGGCGCAAAAATATTTAACAACTAGATGATTTCTCAGCTTTGGAAGTTTTACATTGTTGGTAAATCTCGGACCAAGCCCTAGTTCCAACCTCCATAGGTGTCATTAGTTTGTAATTTAAAACCACGCATTTCTTCTAGATGAGCAAATCAGGGGCCTGTGTGAGACTTAGACATATTTCAGAACCAGTGTCTGTACAGATGTGAGGGCAGTAACTGGGTGCGTTTCCGTTCTCAAAAAAAGATGAGTATTTGCGAATAAGGATGGCATCAGATTTGCAACTTTGAGATATGATGCATTTAGAGGCACACCATGCTGATATGCAAATAAATCTTCAATTCACAATACCACTCTCAGTGTTGTAAAAACCAATGCTTGACAATTGAGAAAAGTTGCTCAATTTCACAACTTTTTTAAAATGATAAATGGCAAGGGGATATAACGAAACCATTTTTAATTAATAGATTCTCCTTTATAGTTCCGAATCTTTCATCAGTTCCGTCATTTAAATCGGTTCTTTGAGATCGCTCTCGTTTGAACCTTGAGGAAATCCAGAGTGTGTAGTTCAACTGTGTTTTATAAATAAAACAAAATTGGGGTTCTGTTCAAATACATTGAGTTGGCATCAGTTCCT